TATGTTATGAGACTTGTTAGTATGTTCTTACGGGGTACCGAAGAGCTCGGGTGAGTTTCGGATAGGTTTGGGTTGCGTTGTGCTCGTTTTTCTTATGTTTCGATGTCGTTTCTTCCAGCATAAATGGTACCACATTAAGCAAATGAGCTCTGATTTTTATTTTGATTGAAGCATTATATCCGTATCGTAATTACGGAGCCATATCAAAAAGAATCGCCGAATGTGGGCATTGTATGAGGAATTTATGGTCATTTTACTAAATAAATTGGGTTGTCAGATTAGTTACGAAATTGCCACTGAATCCATTGGAGGCATAAAAAGCGAGCTTCGGGATCATTTAGCATGAGAAACGATGCTGAATAGCTGGCAGAAAAATATATAAAATGAGGATTTGTTTATTCTGTCATATTTTGAGTTGGGAAGCTCGGATTTGGGCACTTTTGGGGGCGATTTTCACCATAAGGATTGGGGTAAGCGTTCTCTACTCAGTTTTGGTTATATTTCATGAATCCATATTTATTTTTGGGATTTGATTGATGATTTTAAAGTGAAATTGAGGGAGTTTGAGTTTGAGTTTTGGAGAGTTTAAGTGAGGATTTGAGGGACCAAACGGGGTCCGATTTTGATGAATTTTATATGATTAGACTCGGGAGAGGACGATGTTTATTATTCTTTCATTTTTTGACTGATTTCGAGACGTGGACACGGGGGGAGTTTTGGCCGATTTCGGATTTTTGGCATATTTATGTAGTTTTTATTGTGGAATTCGATTCTTTAGACTATGTTGATAGTAGTATTCTGATTTATGGTTAGATTCGGAACTTTTGAAGACCGAGTCCAGAGGCGAGGGCATCCCGGAGTAGGAGTTTACGTTGTTAAGGTAAGTAACAGTTTTAACTCTGGCTTTAAGGGTATAAACCCGGAGAATTTGATAATCGTGTGACTGTTTGGAGGTGATACCCACACTAGGTGACGGGCGTGTGGGTGTATACCTCGAGGGATTGAGACTTGGTCCGTCCTGTGAGGCCTCATGGACATAATTTGTGTTTACGTAGTTACTTGTTGTTGAACTTGCATGCCTTCATGTTAGAAATCATGCTTAGGCTTTATTCACGCTAACATTATTTGTACTCACTCATAGAAATTATTGTACATGTTTACCTCAGTCTCTATTATTTGCTAATATGTTGTGATACTTGATGTGGGTTGTGTTCCCTTATTTATTGATGATAGTGAGGCTAGTGAGGTACATGATTGAGTGAGGTCGAGGGTCTGGTTGTAAGGATATTAATACCATAGCGCGTGAGTTATCTGTGTAGTACGTGAGTTGACCGTACGGGTACAGGTATTGATACCATAGCGCGTGAGTTATCGCATAGCACGTAAGTTGACCGTGCGGATCCAGGTATTGATATGATGTCACGTGAGTTGTCCGTGCTTAGCGCTTGGGCTTTGGGAGCCCCTCCAGAGTCTGTGCACACCCCCAGTGAGCGTAGAGTGTTGAGCGTTGAGTGTTGAGTGCGAGTGCTGAGTGATGGAGTGACATTGTTGTGAGGTTGCATTTACTTTTGTTGTTTCTGCATTTACCTGTTAATTTTCCTTGTAGTCTTACTGATTTATGAAATTACCTGTCTACTCCTGTTTGTACTTAATTGTGTAAATAATAATTGGATTATTCTGCTTAGCTCGTCACTACTTCTCAGTTCCTTAGTTATTTCTGTTACTACTGAGTCGGTTGTACTCATACTACACCCTGCACTTTATGTGCAGATCTAGGTGAGTTAGAAGGCGGCGATCGTTGAGTTCAGGTCGGCTATCTTTGGAGACTGCAAGGTAGCTGTTAGCGTCCGCATGACCTTGTTACTCCTCTTGTCATTTCTTCTTTTGGACAATTAGACAGCTTATATATCTTAGTTCATAGTTTTAGATGCTCATGACTTAGTGATACCCCGATGTTTGGGGCTCGTTTCCGTATTTTCTATATTATATTTAGAGTTGATTTAGTTTATGAGAAATTCAAATATTGGTATTGTTTTATTAAATTCTTATAATCGATTTAGTAGTAATATTTTGGGAAATAGGCTTGCCTTGTAACACGATAGGCGCCATCACGACCATAGTTAGATTTTGGGTTGTAACAATAACATTTAGCTTTTAATTCTAATTAAGTATTTGTAGTCTTACACAACTTTTCTTAAATATTTTTTTACAGAGTTCAATGAGGCTGAAACCAAATTTAAATGGAGTAGCATATTCTATACTACGTGAACATACATACATTGCTACAAAGAAATTAGGAATGCCGTTTTTGGTTTTTTAATTTGGTCGTTTAATTATGAGCACGCTTACAAACATAACAAAATACAAATATTGATTACAAAAACTTAAAAATATATATATATATAAAATATTTTGGTAATATAAAAAATTATAATTTTCTTTTTGAATCAAATTAGACTAACTTTTAAAACGTCCCAATTAAAATATAAAAACTGATTGTACAAATATAAGAAAACTAACACACTAAATCCGTGAGAATTAATTGAAAAAATAAACTCTAATTCTGATTTTTACATGAATTTCATATTTTTACTTCTTCTAGGATAGTATTTACGTCTTATGCCAGTTGGATGACGTCCTATTTATATCTTTTTAGAATTAACATAAGAATATATAGCTTTTTCAAAATAAAAATATAATAATTCTAAATCTTCAAAGTTATATGATCTTGTTAAAAGTAAAAAGGATGCATAAATTGTAAAATTAAAGTAATAAAACTATAAATCTTAAATAAATTGTATGTTAACTATACTGACTGAGATGACTGAGAACTCCTGTCGGACAAAGTTTCTTCTTTTATTGAGTTGGCAAAATAGAATCAAGAATCATCACTTTAGGAACTTAAAATTTTTTAAATTTTTTCTTTGGCATATATTTCATTATTCAATTAGAAATTTAATATAATTTTTAAAAATTTGTACTCATTGAGATAAAACTACACGCACGTATCCTTAGACTAGTACAACAAAACACTAATGGTATGTTTGATTCAGAACAATTGTATTCTGAGATTCTTTTGGAATTATAATCTCACATGCTATATTGGATCAATAATACCAAATTTTTTGTATCAAATTTATATCGAAATTAGCTAATACTAATAATGAAATATAAGATAAAAGTTATCCTACATTTTATGTCGAAATTAATATCCTAATTACCATAATCTACAATATATTAAAAGCAAGAACCCCTTAATTAAAAAGTTAAATTATAATATTACCCTTCTTATTTATATAAATATCTCATTTAAAAAAAAATAACGCTTAGGAACAACCCAAATGAAAAGATGCTACAAAAGTATCTCTTCAATGAAGCATCCGAAAAGGAAAATGGCGTCAAAAGTTTAAGAAAAAATCACTCCAATTGTAATTTCATATTGATGACTTAAAGCAATTGGCGGGGAACTTAACAACAAGTTCTCGTGTACCCAACTATATATAATCTAAGACAAATATATAATCTAAGACATTCATAGGTAAATGAATTGAAATCCAATTGTATAAGAGTTTATAATGACAAAACCAAATATAAGTAAAAGCATTTCGAATCTCTTTGTAGTTTTATAATGACAGTGTTAACAAATAATCTTTACTGTTGCAATTAATTTTAATGATAACTATAAATTTAATGACTTGGCATTTTCCAATTACTGTAGACGGAAAATGAGGGAGAAAACAAAAAAGTGAGAAATAAATAAATTTGTTGGTCTAAAAGAAGTACCACGTAATCTAATGGTCCAAATTTTTTTTGACTCCCTAATGAATTTTTACTGATTTACTAATCGTGAATTTTCAAACATCTCACGAGATTGGCATATAAATTAAATTAAAAATACGTTTATAAACTCTTTAAATTTTAAAAAATAAAATGCCGAAAGACAGTAACTATTGATTTATGCTGTAATTAATTTACGCTAAGCCAGCACACCATCTTAAAAAGAAAGAAAAGAAAAGAGAAGGCCAAACGTCATGAAAAGAAATTATAGGAGACTTAGAAAAGTTTGAAACCGTAAAAGATCTCATAAATGGATATGTTAAATTTTCTAACAGAAAAAAATGAAAAAAGAAGAGCAAAATGAAGACAGAACTAAAATAATATCTCTCTTATTTATTTTTCTAAATTAATATAGTACTATAGTAGTTTTATACATTTCTCAATGTACTAAAATCAATTGTATTCTCAAGCTTCAAATTCAAAGTTACATAAAAGCAAAAGTTTAAGAAAAATTAAGATAACAATTCTGCATATTTCTTAATGTTCAAAAGCCGATTCTGTTCTCAATCTCAAGTGCACAATGAATTACATTGTTATGTCATAAACTAAATTTCCTCTACCAACTCATATTATCCAAAGCATGTTGATTTTAGAAATTCAAGTACGAAAATTAAATTTCACCCAGTTTACTCCTTTTGATGCTATCCAAACTCATATGTGCTAAAATAAATCATGTCCACGAAAGCAAAATTAAGCAATGAAAAATTTCTATAGCAAAAGAGAAAACTCAATAAGAAAACGAATACGGAGATTCCTTTCCACTGTGACAGAATTTATGTTTGTCGGGAAGTTCGCGCCTCAAAAATGTATTGGATCTGGTTCGACCAAATAAGACGGCGGAGATTGGCGAATAAGAGAATCGGTTATGTCATATGTAAACAAATGTTTATGATTCAAGTATATGCATTGAATTGTAGGCATATTTAAAAAATTGTGAAAATGTTTACAAAGAAGTTTTGACTGTTTATAAATGTGATTCGTTTTCCGACTTAAGAAATGAAGAGTCACAAACATTCGAGATCCGTCACTATAATAACCGTTGCATTCCTTCTTGGATTTTTTAGTTGTAAATCGCAGTTTTTTAACAGTGAAAAAAGAAGAAAAAGGCAAAAAAAAAAAGGTACAACAACCCAGTGTAATGTGAGGGTAGGATGTACGCAGCCTTACTCCCACACTGAAAGGGCAAAAAGACTATTTCCGATAGACCATCGGCTAAAGAAGGTGAAAGAAGTCCTGATATCAAGTAATAGCAAGATAATATAATTAGAAAACTAATTCGAAGATAGCAACATAGAATATGAAAGAGGTGCCGATAACAAGTAATAGCAAGACAATATATTTAGAAAACTAAATCCAAGGTAGCAAACGAGAATATGAATGAAATATTGCTAGCAAACTACGAAAGTACCGATGACAAGTAATAACAGAACAAGAAATGTGATAATAGCAAACTAAGGATAAAAGGGTACCGTACTAATACTAATACTATCGAACTAGGGAAGACAAAGGGAAACACACGACTACCTACTAACCTTCTGCCCTAATTTTCAACCTCCACACCCTTCTATCTAGGGTCATGTCCTCGGTTAACTCAAGTTGCGCCATGTCCCGCTTGATCACCTCTCCCCAAGATTTCTTTGGCCTACCTCTACCTCTTCTCTTACCTCCCAAGGCCAACCTCTCACACCTGCTGACTGGGCATTTGTGCTTCTCCTCTTAACATGCCCGAACCATCTCAGCCTCGCCTCACGCATCTTTTTCTCCACAGGGGCCACTTCTACCTTGTCCGGAATAACTTCATTCCTAATTCTATCCAACCTAGTATACCCACACATCTATCTCAACATTCTCATTTCAGCTACTTTCATCTGCTGGATATGGGAGTTCTTGACTAGTCAACACTCTGCCCCATACAACATAGTCGGCCTAACCACTACCTTATAGAACTTACCTTTAAGTCTCAACGGCACATTCTTATCCCACAAGACAGCGAAAACGAGCCTCCACTTCACCCACCCTGCTCCGATACAGTGTGTGACATCTTCATTTATCTCCCCATCCTTCTGAATTATAGACCCCAGATACTTGAAACTCTCTTTCATGGGTGTGACTTGCGTATCAAGTCTCACATCCCCGTCCGCCTCCTGGGTAACACCGTTGAACTTGCACTCCAAGTATTCTGTCTTGGTCTTGCTCAACTTGAAACCCTTAGACTCTAGAGTATATCTCCAGACCTCCAGCCTCTTGTTAACACTACCTCGCGTCTCATCAATCAGGACTATGTCATCCGCAAATAACAAGCGCCAGGGCACCTCCCTTTGAATGTGTCGCGTCAATGCATCCATTTTCAAGAAAAATAAAAACGGGCTAAGTGATGATCCATGGTGCAACCCCATATGCAGAATCACTCTAATATACGCTACAAGCACTACTTTAGCCTCTAAACATCTCCATAGAATCTCTCTAAGGACTTTGTCATAGGCTTTCTCTAAGTCAATGAACACCATATGCAAGTCTTTCTTCATCGCCGTATACTGCTCCACCAATCTCCTCACAATGTGAATGGCCTCAGTAGTCGACCGTCCCGACATGAAACTAAACTGGTTCTCGGAAATGGACACACTCTTCCTCATCATCACTTCGATCACCTTCTCCACACTTTCATCGTATGGCTTAACAACTTGATATCCCTACAGTTGTTGCAATTTTGGACACCCCGTTGTTATTGTACAACAGAATCATCGTACTCCGCCTCCACTTTTCAGGCATCCTATTCGTCCTAAAAATAACGTTAAACAACCTAGTAAGCCATTCCAAACCCGCCTTACCCACACTTTTCCAAATTTCGATCGGGATCTCGTCCAGTCTGGTCGCTCTACTCCTACTCATCCTGCCTATAGCCCCTACAACCTCCCCCACTCGTATGCGTCTACAGTACCAAAAATCTCGATGTCGCTTCGAGTACTCCAACTCCTCCAACACAATGCTCATATCTCCCTCTTCATTCAAGAGTTTATAGAAGTAAGACTGTCATCTCTGCCTAATATGTGCCCCTCCAATAAAACTCTACCCTTCTCATCTTTTATGTACCTCACTTGCTCTAGATCCCGGACCTTCCACTCCTTCACCTTTGCCAACCTATACAGCTTCTTGTCCCCGCCTTTATCCTCAATTTCTTCGTATAAACGACTAAACGTCATGATCTTAGCCACAAGTAACCGCCAACCTTTTGCCCTCCTTTATATTAATATATAGATAGATTGGTCCTAGTAAGTAATCCCTGATTTATAGTCCTTTATCTTAATGTTTTCTCTTTCACATTTCAGCCATTCATTTTAGATAGCAATGATTATGGGATAAGTAATTCGAATAGTAGCCAAGATTTGTAAGTTCGCCAATCAATGGTAAACTAAAATCCATGATGCAAAACAACAGTAAGAATTAAGGCTTTTCTCTTCAAGGTTGTCTGATGGGAATTTTATTTTCTTCTCTGTTTTTGTTAATAGTAATGCATTAGACCAAATGTATTTCATGGCCTTGTCCAGCAACCGTTCTTGTAAGATTGCACAAAAATTTGTGCCAAGACACTCTCTGACAACAATTCCTCTGCTGTATGAACAAACAACGCACACCATTGACTATACCACAGAACACAAGACACTAATTCTTCTTCGCATATATTGCATATTAGATACACATACATATATAAGATCTGGAATACAAGAAGGGAACAAGTGTAGGTGAATTACAATGAATATTAGGCGAGGACATGAGCTACGTTATTACGTGTCGTGTAACTCATGAAATCAAAATAAGTAAAAACACGCAAACATATCTAATTAAAATTTAATTGTTTAATCTTCGTAGGTTCAGACAATATCCAATGCTTGACTTCGACAAACAAGTAGTCACATGACAATTTACATTATTGATCATTCTCATAAACTTGTACTCAATTCATTTATGTATAATTATTTACTCAAAGTTTTATTTTGATAATATAAATATTATTTTATAAAATCGTATAATACATGACTCGGCATATATGCACAACGCACTAGAAACTAATGAAACAGATTTATAGTCTATAGTAATTAAAATACAAAAGATCTTGAAAGAAATGGAGAACAACTCAGCGAAATGCTTTCACACTCATTTTTTAAAACTTTGTTTTTTTCTTGGCTAAATAGCAATAAGCAAAACAAGACAGAAAGGTTGCAGCGCAAATCATTCGTCATGGATCGGCATCGAAGTCTATGGAAAACGTTTTTAACATTTATCCTGGTCCACAACTTTTTGTCTCAATATATATTTTGTGTATCCACAAATATCTCCCTCTTTAATCTTTTCTCCAAATAGAGAAAAATACACACAACCAATGTAAAAAAATACTAGATGATACTTTTTATTTATTTAAATTTTAGATGGATAGAGTTATTTGATAATATTAGTAAAAGATACTTTCTTCGATCTACTTTAATTGATTTTATAGCTTTTTATTGTGGTCCGTAATATTTAACTTTTTTCACATAATAAAAAGGAATTATCTTATTTTTTTCAAAGTTTTCTAAGATTATTTGTTGTATTTCTAATGAACAAATTAAAATTAATACGATCAATTTTATTGTTAATTAATACTAAAAGATAGATCTTTTTAGTATATATAAAAACATAAAAAATCAATTAAAGTGAAACAGAGAAAATATTAAATATCACCATTATAAAAAAGGAAAAGAACACACCATTCACAAAAAGAAAAAAAAGTTAATTTTTTTTAAAAAAAGTAGTCCCACTATAATAAAGTATTAAGCTGCAGTAAATATGAGAAGACCAGTTGGATATGGAAGATTATTAGAAAACAATAGTACTATAATTATTTGACCAATTTGACAACTAATCCAAAAGATTTGCCTTGGGCTCAACCACCCCCGGAAAACCCCAATACCGCTTTCATTGACCACTTTTCCCATCTTCTCCACTTCCACCCTTTTCTTTCTCCCCAGATCTCTCTCTCTCTCTCTCTCTCTCTCTCTCTCTCTCTCTCACACACACACACACACACACACACACAGATGCCTTTTCTTTCATATTTAGGGTTTTGATTTGTTCTTCTTCCAGTCGAAACAGATATGAAATTCCGCACATTTTTCACTCAATTTCTCGTTTGGCCACTTTGTGGGCCTGATCTGTAAAGTTTTGATTTTGGGTCTTTTATTGATTTCGTAATTCGTTGATTTTCTGAGTTTTTTTTTTTGGAAATTGATGGTGGGTTCCGAGAGCTTAACGCCGCCGCGACCAGAGGCGGCGCCACCGCCGCCGAAGAAGTATGGTGTCACGAAGCCTTTGTCTAGTGCGGGGCCCACCGATGCAGATCTTCAAAGAAATGCAGCATTAGAAAAGGTGTGAACTTTTTTCCCCTTTTCACTCTTTTCTGCGTTCATATAATAAAAATTTAATTTTGCCTATGAATTTGTACTGAATTTTGAGTTTTTTTGGGGTAGTTTTTGAAGGACTCAGGGTTGTATGAGAGCGAGGAAGAAACAGAAAGGAGAGAAGAGGTGCTGCGTCAGCTTGATCAGGTAAATTTTTGAAGCTTAGTAGAGTATTGACTTAATCTGTTGCAGTAATTTTGATTTGGTTTTTGCATGAGTTGTTAGCATGTGTTTGGTTTGCAGCTTTTTATTGTATTACAAGTTCATATAGGTTTTAGCAAAAGGAAAACTGTATGAGAAGTTAAAAAGATCTTTTCTTTTTGCGTTGGGCATGTTGATTTTTAGCCTTTGGTTTCAGCAGCTTTTTATTGTATTATAAGTTCATATAGGTTTTAGCAAATGGAAAACTGTATGAGAAGTTAAAAAGATCTTTTCTTTTTGCGTTGGGCATGCTGATTTTTAGCCTTTGGTTTCAGTTCTTAGTTTAGGGTGGAATTGAATAAGTGAAGACTTTCTTGTTGAGCTCTGAAATAAAACAACTGTTTTTGAGGTCATTGCAAATAATCAGGGAGTCCATACTTGTCGGCCAGCTCTTCATCCTAAAGGGTTTGTAAAAATTAGATGACTTTGGGTTTTATTGCGCTTTGGATTATTCCTTCTTCTAAGGATTTAGTAGGAAAAGAAGTATGGGATAGAAAATAGGATCCCTGGCAGAATATATTTAGAGCCTTAGTGATTGGGGTTGAATTCAAGCCATATCGTTGTTTTGTACTTTTACATGGTGATGGTTAGAGTTAGTGGTGGCAAAATGGTTAAACGAAAATAGTTGACCACCGATATTATCCACTAAAAAATGGGTTGGATAATGAACTTTTTAAAAACGGGTCAAATATGGATAACAACAACAACAACGACCCAGTGAAATCCCACTAGTGGGGTCTGGGGAGGGTAGTATGTACACAGACCTTACCCCTACCCCGAGGGGTCAAATATGGATAAGACCATATTATCCGTTTAGAAAATGGATAACCAATAGGTAACCAATGGATAACTAATGAGTTTAACTTTTACATTTGTAAAGCCTCAAATTGGGAGTTCCTCAAGTTTGAGAGATTAGGAATTCTTCCAAAAGTGATCATATTCAAGAAGTCATGGAATATTATCCGCCGGTTAACCCGTTTTTTTTTATCTGTATTAAATATGGGCCGGGTCGGATAATTTATCTGTTTTTCATTACTCGTTTTCGACCCGAACAATATCCGACCCGACCCTACCGTTTGCCACTCCTAGGTAGAGTGCATGGCAGAATACAATAGAAAACAAAAGCTGTGTAGCTATTGTTAAAGTGAAAGAATTTTTGTTCCAAGTTCAATATCATTTGATGTTGTACCATAGAACCTGTGTGAAAAGAAAAGAGAGGAAGAGAAAAGAAAATTCTTATCAGCAACTAATCAAATAATTTTCTGATAAAAGATGTATCTATATATTAGTTTTATATACAAAATACTCATTCCAACACATAACTAACTGAGGAACCTAACTCTTTTAATGTCAAATTCTACCATTTTAACATACTGTACTTTCTTATACGTTCCGTCAAACTTAAGTGGGGTAATCGATATTAGTTTGCTTACTTTGAAATATTAAAAAAAATAGTTGCGCGAGAACTTGTCTTTAAAGTAGCTGGAAAAGTTCTGATAACAGGAATTTTGCGTGAAAGTTTTGTTCCCGGAGTAGCAGTTGGGAAAGGTGGTTTTGGCGGTACTCTTATTGGAAAAAGGCAGGGTGTTGCGGAGATGGTTATTGCAAAAAATGATGTGTCACTGGAACGATCTCTGAAAAGAGGCGCATGCTGCTGGAATGACTAATGAAAGAGGTATGTGCGACATTGAAAACTGGCATGGTGCTTTGGGTCCTTGAGAATAAGAGTGGTGCTGCTAGAATGGTTACAAGATAAAGATAGAGAAGAAAAGAGAAGCTATGAAAGTAAAGAAAATTTTAGCTGGAAGGGCGTATAAGGCCATTTGCGGGTAGGCATAAGCTACTTAACTCGCTCTCAAAAGCATTAAGGCTTTAATACATGTTGATGAGCTTTTAGATGAGCTTGATTAAAAAAGAAGAGCTTTTAGAAGAGAAGGCTCATACAACTCAAATAAGCTAAGATTTGATTGCCTTTGGTCACTAAAAATAAGTGTGGTGCCCGCTAGAACAGTTACCAGATTCCACATAGAAGAATAAAGTAGTGACGTTATGAAAATAAAGAAAATTATAGCCGGCAAGGCAGACAAGGTCATCTGCCAGTAGGCATAAGCTATTAACTCACTTCCAAGGTTATCAAGGCTTTAATACATGTTGAGGAGCTTTTAGATGAGCTTGATTAAAAAACCTTTTAAATGAGACAGTTCACACAACTCAATCTGGTAAATGTGTGCTTTACATTAGATTTTTTTCCTTATTGGCCAATCATTTTTTGGTAACTTCATGGAACGATGTACACACACAAACACACACACACACACACACACACACACACACACATATATATATATATATATAGAATGTGTGCTTTACATTAGATTTTTTTCCTTATTGGACAATCATTTTTTGGTGAGTTCATTGAACGATCATTGCGCGCGCGCGCGCGCAATGATCGTTCAATGAACTCACCAAAAAATGATTGGCCAATAAGGAAAAAAATCTAATGTAAAGCACACATTCTATATATATATATATGTGTGTGTGTGTGTTTGTGTGTGTACATCGTTCCA